AAACTCAAAGCAACCTAAATGTCCTTCGATGCGTGACTGGATAAACAAACTGCAGTAATCCATATGATAGAACACTATTTAGCAATAAAAAAAGAACAAAGTATTGATAAGCAAATAACTGGATGAATCTCAAGAGCATTGTAATGAGCTAAAAAAGCCAATCTCAAAAAATTACATTCTATTTGATTCCATTTATGTAACCTTTCGGAAGTGACAAAGTTTTAATGGTGAAGAATAAAGTAGTAGTTGCTAGGGCTTAGGGTTGGGGTGGGATGAGAAGGTCACTATAAGAGGATAGCAGGAAGCATGTTTCTTGGTGGTGATGGAATAGTCTCATATTCTGTTAGTATGTTTACATTAATCTACACATATCATAAAATTTCATAGAACTATGCAGCATAAAAAATAATAGTGTAAAATTGTTGAAATCTGTCTAAGTCTATATTCTCAATAGTATTGTACCAGTATCAGTTTCTTGGCTTTTATAATGTTATGTAAGCTCTTATCATTGGGGGAATCTGGGTAAAGTGTACATGGGAATTATCTGTATTATTTTTGAAATTTCTTGTAAATCTAAAATTGTTTCAAAATAAGTTGAAAAAAAAAAAACCCAGGAGTTAATTAAAAATCTGGTTACGAAATGACTTTGTCAGTTGGTTCCCACATTCTTCTCCCACATACCTTCCTCTGAACTTAGAACTCTCTAGGAAAGAATTAAAGAACTGTCTGGGTAGATATTATTAAGCTCCCTCCATTTGGGAGATTTCTGCCCTATTCAGCCTAACATGGAGCTTTCCCTACTGGGAAAGTGAAATGCATATGCAGCAGGAAAGAAAACCTACATCAGTTACCTTGAAATAGTAAACATAAAATATAAATATACAAGAACAACCAAACATCACTATATAAAAAGAAAATCCGCCATTTGGAAGACCAAGGAAAAAATGGAAAATAACTGGTAATTTAGAGAACAAAAGAAGATTTTTAAATCTGTGAACTCTACTTCTTGTCCTCAGAGAACTGTGAAGATGTGGTATTCATAAAATAAGAATTGGGCAATCACAAAACAAAAAAAAGAGCTTTTAGGAATTAACTCTATGATTATTCCCTCCCCCTACATTTTTAAGAAGGGTTTGAATTACAGTTATAGAATGATTTCAAGCAGAGTAAAATGGAGAAAAAAAAAGGAGGAAAATATAGAAAGAAAAAAACAAAACAGAAGGTCAAGCCAAAATACCAACAAGTTGTATAGTAAGAATTTCAGAAAGAAAAGAATTAAGACAAAACCAAAAGGCTGGGGGAGGGGAGAAAATCAAGGAAGAAGAAAAAAAATAACTAAGAGAATTTCCGCGAGCTAAAGAACCTTCTTATGGAAGCAATCTACCAAGTGAAGTGAAGATTAAATAAAGAAGACCCTCATCAAGATGTAACTTCATGAAAATTCAGTACTTTAAGATATGGCATAAATAGAAACCTCTTCCGAGATTAAAAAAAATATAGATCTGCACAGAAGAAGAAATTGAATTTGTGTATTAGACTTTTCAAAAGTAAAATGTTCATAGAAAAATAATTTTAACCTAGCATTCTATACTCTAGACAATTTAATGAAGTCTAGGACGAGCATAAAGACCATTTCAATATGGAAGGTCGCAGCTCCTTTAGGTGCCAGGCATTATTTTCATATGTTACTTGAGGACATAATCCAGAAAAATAGTAGTAGAAATCAAGAAAAAGAAATGTCTGGCTTATTTCACTAAGGTTAGTTACATTGTGATTCATCCATGTTTTGGGTGTATTAATATTCATGCCTTTTTTTATTGCTGAGTAGTAGTCCATTGTGTGGATATGCCATGTTTGTTCATTCACCTCATTGATGGCCATTAGGATTGTTTTCAGTTTTTGACAAATACTAGATATTAATGCACACATTTTTATATGGACATGTGCTTTCATTTTTCTTAGAAATACTTAGGAATGGAACGGCTCGATTATATAGGAAGTGTATTATTATTATTTTTTGCTTTTTAAGAAATTGCCCAAGTGTTTTCCAAAGTAGCTGTAGCATTTTATGTCCCCATCAGCACATCTTAGGGGTTCAATTGTTCTATATTTTGCCTATCCTCTAGATGGTCAGTTGTTTTAATTTTAGCCATTCTAACAGGTGTATAGTGGCATCTCACTGTGGTTTTTATATTTATATATTTATTATTTATTTATTCATTCATTCTTAAAGGACTTATTTATTTATTTTGAGAGAGTGAGCACAAGCAGGGCGAGGGCAGAACTTCAAGCTGAGCGGAGATCATGACCTGAGCTAAAATCAAGAGTTGGTTGCTTAACCAACTATGCATCTCTGGCGTCCCCTTACTCTGTGGTTTTAATTTGAATTCCTCTAATGTCTGGACAGCTTTTTATGTACTTATTCATGCCTCTTGGTAAAATGTCCATATGTATTTTTTTGTCTATAATTGGCTTGTTTTATTATTCTGGATATATGATTTGTTTTACTCTCTGCTCTTTTTTATTGGTATTTGCTTTTCTATTCCCCTCCTGTACACTCAAGTAGAGAAATAGAAATTAGGATATTATTTAAAAATAAAGTTTTATTGAAACCACTTGGTTTGATCAATTTGAGCACCTAATTCCTAGTCACTCAAGCAGACACCTACCTGCCGGGGGAAAGTATTCATTTAGAAAACAGAATGTGGCCCTCCTGGTTTTTACATAAGTCTTGGTCTAGGGGAGAATGTCATTTACCTAGGACTCTTCAGGTGTCTCAATGAGGAAATCCACAGGAGAGATGAAAGGTCTTCTCTAGTAGATCTGGGCGGGGATGGGATCATAGGACTAAGTTTGTGGTTGCCTGCACTGGGGAACTTCTCCCTGGAAGAGCAGGGTCAGGTCTGAACTTGTGTGAAGGCTGATCAGGAGACAGTAACTGCAATGGCCCCACCTGCCTGAATTGGCAGGAAGTTCATGTTCTTGATTCTCTGCTCATTAATATCAGATCGTTCCCAGTTGACTCAGCACCTTTTAGGCTATGTGCAATTTTGTGGGTCAAGGCACAGTTGGCCAGTTTGTCTATAATTCCTCATCAAACATTCCCTGCTGCCTTTTTTGTTTATCTGACATGGGAGCTTGGGAATATTTGTTACTTCTCAAAAGTAGCCAATATAGATAATTCTAAAACATAATTAGGGTCACCTAATGTTTTACAAATGTCATCCTAGGCATATTCAAGTTTAAAACATAGTACAATTTTAATTATTAGCAAAAAAATTTGGCACATCTGAGATTAAGGGCTTCTTATGGACATTCCAGTGCCCTCTCTGGACATCTGAGTTAACCAGACCAGATCTCAAGCCCAGATCCTCTGTCTCCCCATCCCTCTCATCCCCCAACCTTGGCACCAACCAAAAGTGGCCCTGTTCTTAAAGACTCTTATGTTCTAGTCAAGACAGAGCACGTACACAGGGAAGTTAGTTTCAGCATTTAAAAGACAATGTTATAGTCATATGGAATGTTTTATAAAACAATACAACAAAAAAGTTTTGAATGTGTGCTGTGACAAGTTTAATAATTGTTGGAGAATAGTAGGAAATAATCTTTAAACTGGTTTTATCCTATAAAATCTGCATTAAGTGGCTCATGAAAATTAACCATTTGCCCTGAGTTTGTTAGTTGTTTCACCAATTTCAAAGCCATGGCTTTAGACGACCCCAGAATTTGACTGATGGAATTTAAAAGGACGAGAGCACAGAAAAACACTTAAGATATTTTTAGAAAAAGAACTTTTGGGTTCACATTTGACCTCTACCAGTTACTATCTATGTGGCTTAGTCTCTTTGAAATCAGTTTTTTCATCTATAAAAAGAGAATAATCCTTCCTCATGTAAGATAGGATATTTGAAAGCACTTGGTAATAGTAAAGAAAATTCTGATTATCACCCAGATGGAATTTTTCTGTAACTAGCAAAGGGCTAGTTTGTTTTTTTTTTTAAAGTTAAGAGTTAAAGGAACATATTTCATTCTAAAAACTCCTTGGGATAAATTGGGCTCTGAGTGAGCTATGATAGCTTGCAACTGCTTACTTGGTCTTGAAGTTAGCACCTTCCTGAGTCTGCAGTCTCGAATTTAATCTCCTTACTCTGAAGGAGACACAGATTAAAGGAGGTAAAGGTCCAGCTTCTGCTCTCTTTTAGGGGTAAGTCCACACCAAGGAGGAAATAAAGACAGAATTGCTAAGTCACCTGCTCCCTTCAGAACACTATGGAATCAAACTGTTTCTTACTCTAGGTGTCAGCTCTTGCAGCTCTGGGGTTTAATGCTGTGCATCGCCACTTGACCCCATCACAATTTAATCTGGCTACACTTCAGAAGCACATAATAAACCACAATAGTCAAAACTCATTTGACAACTCTCTTGGTTTCTACCCAAACTTGTGTCATTTGTTAAATCAGCACTTAAACACCAATATGTTTTAGAACATTAGCTACAATATTAGCAAAGGAACAAAATTAGTTTATGTGATTTCATTTTTTTTTTTTTTTTGCCGGTAGGTGTGTGCTAAGTAACACACTGACCCAACTTTTGGAATTTAAACTTGAACCAGAATATCACATAAAATATTTTCCCATTTATGAAGTACTTTCATACACACTACTATCATTTGATTCATTCAGGAGGAATTGGGGATGGTTGTTCTACTTTAGAAATTTGGAACTGAGAACAAGTATGACTTCCTTAAGATCTCACAGCCACTGAAGGTAGACTGGGACTAGGGGTGCCTGGGTGGCTCAGTTGGTTAGGTGTCTGCCTTAGGCTCAGATCAGGATCCCAAGCCCCACATTAGGCTCCCTGTTCAGCGGGGAGCCTGCTTCTCTCTCTGCCCCTCCCCTGCTTATTCTCTTTCTCTCTCTCTCTCTAATAAATAATTTTTTTTTTAAAGGCAAGGAGACTGGGACTAGAAAGAAAAAAATCTGCCAATTATCCAACAAACCTCATTGCTTCTGGTTGGGGAAGAATAATGAAAGGTTCTCAGGAAAGGCACATGATTCATGCACGGATGGGAGAGAGGACTTGTGTTGGGAAAGGTGTCCAGGATTCTCCACTCTCCGTGGCTCTTCCAGGTCACAATGACATCCTGAAGACATAGCAGCTGAGTGTCAGTTCATCAGGGAGGAGTACCACGGCTTTCCCCATTTTCTGTGGAGAAGCAGCACAACCTAGGAATCAAAGCATGGACTTCAATGTCACCCCTGTCCTAGCTCTACTGCCTAGTAGCTTGTGTGCTCTGGGGGAAGTCACCTAATCTTTCAAAGTGTGTGTTTCTGTAAAATGCCCAGAAGATTAAATGAGACAATAATATTAATAAAACCAGGCACAGGGTCTGCCACACACTTCTCGAGGAACATGGAAGATGAGATGGAAGGAATCTACAATATCCTGCGTGTATAGCTGATGGTTTGGGTTTGCAAAGTTGCATCCATCTGTCTGAAAACAATCCACAGATGGGTTTTGTTTGGCCGACAGAGGGATGGCCCCCCTAGTACCTAGGACATCAAAGAGCTTTTCTGAGGCCAACAAAATAAGGCCAGGAATGCCCTGACTATGACTGGAAGGTGATGTGGTTTTGAATTTTTTTTTTTCAATTTAGTTAGTTTGGGGCTTGCTCCAGCATCTTCTCATAAGTCTAGAGGTCTGGGGGACAGCTCTTAGTTCTATCACCTTAACACAAGAAAGTATGAAGGAGACAGACAATAAGAGTGTGTGCCAGAGGGAAGAGAGCAGGGCATTTGTGCCAAATTAGTTATTTCTTCAGTTTTTGCAGTTGGCATTCTTTCTTGTAAGTCTTTACTCATTGTACCGGATGACCATTGCTGCAGCTATATATATAAACATAGCTGAGAGTGAGAAAAGATTTTGTTGTAAACATTTTTTTGTGATTTTTTTTTTTTCAAAATGAATTCAGGAAAAGATTGTGGCTTGGCTGGGGATGAGAGTGGAAGGAGAGAAGGAACAGATATATAAACAGAGCGTATCATTTTTCCATGTAATGATGTCTGACACTTATACTCCTACAAAGAATTGTGTGTGCCACTCAGGAGTCCTTTCCGCTCCTGAATTATGGTTCAATAGTTCAGAAATTAAATTGCTTCCTCTCAGACCAGACTATAGACGTTGATCACTTCATGTTGCAGACAAATTATAACCTTTTGGAGTTTCTTTCCCAAGTGTAGGTGGCGATAGTGTTGCAATGCTCACCCAGGCCTTTCTTGAACTCCCAAGAAAAGAGCCTCAGATGCTGAATTTTCTATAAAGGGTATAGTCTATATTACCATATAAGACATATCTATTGGGGGCCTCAGAAAAGGGTAGGTCAACAGTCCTCCCATCCTTTTTTTATATACCTCCAGGAAGCAAGGCATATAGTGAAAGAGAGAGGGTACGTGGCGACACAGATGGGGGAAGAGCTTTTTTCATTACATTACTATATTTTTAAGATATTTATTTATTTGTTTGTTATTTATTTATTTATTTGAGACACACAGAGAGAGAGAGGCAGAGACACAGGGAGAGGGAGAAGCAGGCTTCCTGTGGGGACCCTGATGCAGGACTCGATCCCAGGACCCCAGGACCACGCCCTGAGCTGAAGGTGGATGCTTAACCACTGAACCAGCCAGGCGACCCTCATTACATTACAATAGACTCCATTTGAACCAGAACCTCTTATCATCTGGCTGAGAAAAAAGAAGTGGGTCCTAGACCCATGATGAAGAGAAGACGAGGACTGCTCTTCACTGATCCTATATTTAGATCAGGAGGCCAGCGAGGGCACTTCCCAGGATACCACTTTATAGGAGGTATCCGACATTGCTGGGAATGTTACAGGATGGAGAAAATTTCATCCCTGGAATGCCTTTCAGGGAAAGAATTGTTAACTGTTGAGAGGACTACTTTGAGAAGCTGCTTTGAACTGGGGGGTGGGTTGAGATAAGATTCTGAAGGGAAATACATATTAAAAGGAACAAGATATAGTTGCTAAATTTGCCTTCTAAGAGGAAAGGTTCTGCTTAAGCCAAGTCTGTTCTGCCAAGTGGAGTATGCCCGTCTGGAGCCAGAACAGAATTGTGAGGACATTGGAGAGGCCCCTTGTGCCACCAAGGGTCCTCCTTGTGTGCCCTTTCCCTTGGGAGTACTGACCCAGCCTTGATCCACTTAATGCCCAAAGTATCTTGGCCATGTGAGCCCCTGAGGGCAGATGAACCTTGGTTGACCATGGAGGCCTTCATCTGGAACAACGCCTGGCATGAGGCAGTGTGGAAGGGAACGTGGGCAGGCAGGCCCTGGCTCTGTGTGGTTGAAAAAAAAGGAAGGAAGGAAGGCGGCTTTGGGAAATGTGGACTAGGTCTGCCCAATGTCCTCATTGCCCTTCATAGAGTTGCAAATGGCTCAACATTCAGGTTACAGAAGGATGAACTGCCAGGGTTATTATTCTAGTCACTCTATGCTCTCTGGATTGGTATACGCGGGAGAGACCCCCATCTGAACACAGCTCATCCATTCACAGTGTGTGAGAAGGGCTGGGAGGGCCATGTCCTCATCTGCTTTTATGGCCACTTCTTCTCTTCCCCCCTTCTGGGGAGGAGTGCTAGCACTCTCCCTCCTTTCAGAGCGCAGGGTAGAGTAGTACAGGGCATGTCCTAGGAACTGTTTCTCTATTTGCCAATAGTGTACTGTTCATGCAATCCTCATGGCCATTTGGCCCAGAGGAGAGCTTGGGCAATTGTGCTGTGCTCCAGTGGCTTCTTACCTAATTGTCTTCTCAGACTCCCCTCATTGAGTGCCAAGTGCCCTGTGGAAGTCTAAGCCATGAGCACCGGGGTATCAGTTTCAGGTCTCAGGCCTAGGTGCAGAGAACAATAAAGTGTTTATGTGATTAGACCTGTATGAGATTTTTATTTTTTAACTTATTTTTATTTTTTAAAGGTTTCATTTATTTATTCACGAGAGACAGAGAGAGAGAGGCAGAGATATAGGCAGAGGGTGAAGCAGGCTCTCTACAGGGACCCCAATGTGGGACTCGATCCCAGGACCCTGGGATCACCACCTGAGCATCCCTGTATGAGATTTTTAAAACCAAATTCAAATGATTAAAGAATACGCCCTCTTTCTTATTACCAATGTCTTATTTTTATCCTTTGGCTGATTAAAAGACTTTCTGTAGAAAACAAAAGGGAAAATAGAATCTTATTCTTGAAAAAAACATAACCAGGTATAACCCAGGTGTCAGCTCAGACCTACCTGTAGTTTGAGAAAACACAGATTTTAATTGATTCAGTTTGAACTAAAATAATTGCTACTTATATAACTTTCTTTCAGACAGCTAATCCAATCTTACAATAATGCGATATTATGTTTAGATCAACTTCTGAACATGTCTGGAGACATGTTTAATTCAGGGCACCACATTAAAAGAAACTCTGAAGATCTGAGTTACATACAGAGGAAAGTGATAAGAATGATTTAAGGCATAGGAAACCATGTTATATAAAGAAGTTTTAGGAATTAGTTACCTTCTTCTTGGAAAAAAATAACAAGTACTTAAAAGGGTAATGTTAGCTATCTTAAAATATTTGGAAGATAACTAAATTGATTTTGTCCATATCAGGAAAGCATAATTCTATCTAATAAGGAGTGATAGAAAAATGAGTTTGACTCAGTATAAGGAAGACCATTCCAGCAATCGGTATCCCCTAGAAATGCAATGTCAAAGAAAGGAGTCAGTTTCCCTACCCTAAACTCATTCAATCAACACATATTTTTTTGTGACTAACTTCCAGGTGCCATTTTAACAGTAAGATGTAATCATGAATAAACTCCAAAAAGGTCCGTGAGCCATATGTCTGGTATGTGATAGGAAATCTTATCTGAAGAGAAAAGCTAAATTATGTTATTTCTATGGGATTTTTTTTCTACTCTAAAATTTTATACTCTCATTAATTTGAAGAAAACAGCAATAACAAACCTATGTATCACTAACCATTAAAATTAGTCCTTTCTGGACAATGATTATTGTCTCTTATTTTCCCCCAGGGCCAATGAATTGCTGTTTATTGTATAAAAATAGGTGCTGGGGCACCTGGGTGGCTCAGTAGGTTAAGCAAGGACTTTTGGTTTTGTCTCAGGTCATGATGTCACAGTCCTGGGATTGAGCCCCAAGCCCGGCTCCACGCTCAGTGGGGAGTCAGCTTGAAAGCTCTTTCCCTCTGCCCCTCCCCTCATTCATGCAGTTCTCTCTTTCTCTCAAATAAATAAATAAATCTGGACGCCTGGGTGACTCAGTGGTTAAGTGTCTGCCTTCGGCTCAGGTCAAGATCCCGGGGTTCTGGGATCGAGTCCCACCTCAGGCTCCTCCTGCTTCTCCCTCTGCCTCTCTCTCTGTATCTCTCATGAATAAATTAATAAAATAGTTTTTAAAAAATAGATATTAAAAAAAAAGATGATCAGTTAGATCTGGATTGTGGCTTTAGCAAACCCAAGAGGAAGGCAGCGATGGTAGTGAGTTTTCTATCATGGTAGCCCAACAGTCTGCCCTTCCCACTGTTCCAGTCAATCAAGATGTTTTTAATCTAACTTTTCAAACACATTAGCTTTCACCCTAAACCATGTACATTGGTACGTTTGATGCCATGCCTTCCATATCTTCATTCAAATTCTTGGTAGAATCCTTAGAGAGAATAAGAGTAGAGTGTTCTGGTCAGCTTTCCATTAAACCGCTAATCAGGGTTACTGGGCAATTGGGGATCCAGCTTGCTAACTGTAGCTACATACGCCATTAAAAAACTCTTTTTAACATCGATATTGTGAAAGATCTTGAGAGATAATATACCAAGTCACTGTATTTTAGCATATTTCATTCTGTCCTTAAAAAAAAAAAGCATGCTTTGGGGACCTGGGTGGCTCAGTCAGTTAAGTGTCTGCCTTGGGCTCAGGTCATGATCCTGGGATCCTAGATGGAGCCCTGCATTGGGCTCCCTGCTCAGTGGGGAGTCTGCTTCTCCCTCTGTTCCTTCCCCTGCTCCCCCACTTAGGTTCTCTCTCTCTCTCTCTCACTCTCTCACACTCTCTCAAATACATAAATAAAAATCTTTTTTTTTTTAAACTATGCTATGCTATCAAAATGCCTTCATCGTCTGGAGGTCACCATTTCATATCCTGCATACTCATGAGCTATGTTCAAAAATTTAGCTATTTTTCAGCCTGAATGTACCCTTTTTTAAAAAAAATTAGAACATCTAGAGTCTAATTTTCTAAAGCTAATTTTCTCCTTTAGTGTTTCTAAGTATGAAATTATTTCCTTGAATACTTTTTTCCTGTATATTTTTTATTTTGTTCATGTTCTTTTATTAAAAATTTCTATTAAGAATATACTTTAAAGTTTATTCCAAGCAGAATTTAACAAAAGAGCTATATTTTAATTATGGTATAAGATGTTGCTTGAATTTAACCAATACTAGGAAATAGAGAATACTTACAGAAATAAAAAATAAAATGGTGATAAATCCCCATAACATAGTAAAGACTTTAGAAAATCATTAAAAGATGGAGACTATCTGCTTTCCACCATTAGAAGTTTTATCAGTCACTGAATAAATTTTCACTTTAAAACTAGGCTTGCATCTTCCAGTGTTATATTGTTAATTAAAAAAAGACATGAGAAAAATTGGGATCATTTATCCAGTATTAGCTATTTGGATTTTAAAAACTTCCAAAAGGTATTAAAATTCAATTTCCTAAACCTTATGAGAATTGTGCAGCTTTTATGTTTATTGTCTCTTGTCCTCCATAAATTAGAATGTCAGCTTTCTGAGGGGAAGACACTTTGTCTTGCCCTGTGCACCCAGTATCTAGAACAATATCTAATACAGAATAGGGGACAAATAAATGCATTTTGACTAACTGATTCACAGTTATATTCTCTGAATATTAAAAAAATTAAGACCATGTGGTTGTTGTTTCCCATGGAGCATGTGACTTCCTCTTTAGCCCACAATTTTCTCTTCTTAGTCAGAATTAAGCCTCAAGTACCAGTTTTTCTCATTGCTTTTTAAATATTTTGAGAGAGAAATTTGTTATCCGAGTAATTCAAAAAAAGAAAATATGAAAGTGTTTGCGCTGACCTCATTCTGCCTCAAACTCTGTGGGAGAAATAGGCTGTGGGCCTATTTATGTGAGACTTTGGCTCAAGACTGATTCTTCCCCTCAAGACTGGTTCTTCTCCTCAGCCTTGGGGACTTCGCGAGGCTTAGTTCCTGAAGATGGCGAATGAAGAGGGAGGCAAGGCAAGTTGGTTACTTTGCCAGCCCTTGAACAAGTAGGAAGTACCTCCTTAGAAAAAAAGGATGTTCCATCCCATTATTGAGAGAGGAGCATAAAGTTGGATTTCAGTGGATTACAGGGGAAGAGAATGGGCTTTTGGATCAGACAGGCCTGAGTTCAAATCTTCACTCTACCATTTATGGACTGTGTGCCCCAAACCTCTGATTCTTGGTTTCTCTTCTTTACATTTTTCATGAGGGAAGAAGACTGTGTATGCGAAACATCCAGTACAGTACTTTGCACGTAATAAACTTTCACAATGTGTTCTATTGTTATTATAACATCCAGTCAGAGAATATAGTCAGTGCTGTCTGGATAATCCAACATTTCCTGGTGTTCTTGAGATGCTTTAAGGAAGCATGTGGGATATACCAGTGAACGAAATAGACAAAAAAGAAAATCACTGTTCTCTGTGGAACTTAAATGAAGTATCAGAAAGCATAAGAAAAAATTAAGATGGAGACTATCCTATGCCACTATTTTCTTTCCACCATTCCCGTGGAAGTTTTAACTGTAGCTGAATAAATTTTCACTTTAAAACTAGGCTTCCATTTCTAAATATTATATTGTTAATTAAAAAAAGAGATGAGAAAAACTGGGACCATTTATCTTAATTTTTTCACAAATCAAGTTTTTTTTTTAAGATTACTACCATTTTCCTAGTTCTAAGCATTATCTGCTTTAAACTCCTTCAACAGCCTTCCAATGTTTCCTTTCATCCTGCCTCCAACTCCACCCCACATAGAAGAGAATTCATTAAAATCCTAATCTGATCAAATTACTCCTCAGTTTAAATCCCTTCAACAGCTTCCAATTGCCCTAGGACACCACCTAATCTCCTTAAAACCACACCTTGTTACTTTTTAAAAAAGATTTATTTATTTGAGAAAGAAAGAGAGAGAGAGAGAGAGAGCATTCACAAAAGTGTGTGAGTGAGCCAGAGCCCATGCAGGGGTGAGGGGCTTAGGGAGAGGGAAAGAGAGTCTCAAGCAGAGCCCATTGGGGTCAACCTCACAACTCTGAGATCATGACCTGAGCCAAAATCAAGAGTTGGATGCTCAACCGACTGAGCCTCTCAGGTGTCCCCACACCTTGTTACTTGACCCCTTCCTCTTTCCTGGTCTGGAAGAGTGGCACTACCTTGTTCTTTCTGAACCTCTTCCAGCTACCCTCCGGGGCCTTGCTCTCTTCCTCACAGCAGAGCATTTGTCCTTGTTCTCTTTACCTGAAGTGTGCCTCCTTGCTTTCTTTTGTTTTTACTATTCTTGATATTCATCCTTCAGGTGTGGCTTAAATGTCATTTTCTCAAGGAAGTTTCTGGAATAATCCCATGGATTGGTTCAGCGCCTCTGTGTTGAGCTTCCCTAGCACCCACTTCAGATCTCCCCTTGCATTTACCACAGATTGCTGCCAATGTTTATTGGCTTGCGTGTGCTCCATAGTGCCCCAGAAGAGCTGGATCACAGGACCCTTGCTTGCCTTGTTCTCTATTGTGTCCTAGGATCTAGCCATGAGGAGTCCAGA